ATCGCAGGATATTCTAAATTATCACGGCAGCGCACGCCAACAGTTCACGGTCACCGTAAGCACTTTGGCTCCCGATTCCCCAGTGAGCAATTTTTCAGAGTAAATATAAGCCACTTGAGTTTTTTGGGACACATGCGTGCAGGGACATTAGCGCAGCCCGGCAGTTAACATGCCGTCGCTTAGCAGAGTCTCACGGGGAAGGAGCGGGCCGGGGTGCATAAACACCGCCGTGTAAATGCAGCGGCGCTGCGTCTTTAAAAGAAAAAAAACATGGGATCGGGGACACAAGTCACTGTCTTCATGGTCTCTGAACGAGGCAACGAGCGAGTGGGGAGCGAACGACTTATTACCCTCTAAATAATGGAGCAAGCTTTAACCGCAGTGATCCAAGTCTACTGCGCTTAAGTGCTTTTAATAAAGCATTGTCACGATTTCTCCTGCGTGATCGTCTCTGAAATACGCAGGCGAGTCGTACGTCTTCTTTAAATAGCTAATTCTTATTAGGCCAAAGTTTTTCATCATGCAGCTGTGCGAAATCATTTAGCTACGTCTCAGAGAACAGGGGCAATTTCCCATTGGAGGTTCCCCCTTTAGAAGTTGAAGGCCGGCATTTCTCTGAACACAAATTATGTAAAGGGATGGTTTACCTGACCAACAAAATCCCAGAGTTTGGCAACCGGAGGGTTTAATGAGACGATAATGTTTAAGGAGAATCACTAAATGCTTCTGGCTTTTCCGGGAAAACAAAGATGGTGGTAATAGTACCAAAAATATCAGCAATGTCCTCTTTCAGGCAAAGACAATACGCTGCATAGAATATCTGGGCGTGTTTAATTCAGCTATGTCTCAGGTTAATGAGGCCGTTTGCTGTGGGGGAGACATTTTCACTGAGCAAACACGGCCATGTCTCTCAGGACTGGCACAAACCGCTGGTTGGGTGGCAGGGTCCTGGGCAGGGTCCAGCTGTATGGACCAGGACCTCGTAAGCCTTGGTCGTTGGCCTATTTACTTTGACAGGGAGCAGTAAGAAACCTGGATTGATGAACAGGAATGTTTGACAATCGTTGAAAATGGGGGGAAAAAAGTCACACCTTCATATTTATGTCCCTATTGTGCTGTGTAGTAACTTCTAAATATGGCAAACCTGTGGACGCTAACCCTAAGGCCACCAGCTCCAATACCAGCATGTGCCCTGTTGAACCCATCAGACTGTATTCAGATGGAATTTCTCCACCTTAAACATTTTGCTGTATTAACTGACGCACAAAAAGAATAAGAGAATTTACTCTTTTTAACCTTAACAAAAGCCCCGGTCAATGTAGGTCTGTTACCTGGAACACTCGCAAAAAATCAGCTTCACAAAGAAGAAGTAAATCTTAAGTAAATAAGACTGCAGTGTTTGTACATCAAAAAATGACCTTGACATTAGAGTTTGAGTGCTGTATTCCTGAATCCTGCGGTCACAGCAGGTAGAAGACCAACCCCAAGGACTTCCGAGGATTTTAAAGAACATCTCAGACAATGAGACATCTTCATTCGCCTGCTTAATTAAATTAAAAATCCATACTTAATGAGCACAGAGCCCATCAATAAAGGCTGACATTTATTAGAGGGTTAGGACAGAGCAATGCGGCAAGAGGATTACAATCAATGAAGGCTGGGAAATATTTTGTGGCAGCGCTGACAAGATGCTTTTATCTCGTCTAAAGGTAAGACTCTCTAGCGGAAACAGCTGGAAAACACAGTGGAAAAGAAGCCTTGATTACTGAATGCAAGACAGCATATTCTCCAGAGGAAAGTTTAGACAAAAACAAAACTAGACTAATTAGACCTTGGAGTAAGCATAAACAACAATCTTCCCAGATATTAACTGTACACGCGCTGACAGGAGACAAAATGAAGCAAACAGCGCCTCCTCCTGGATGAGTGAAGGAGAGCAGCGAGCAATGCACCCCGCCCCATGCAGTGAATGATTTTACCCACAGTTTTCTACTATTAGCCTTTCTGTGATTTTGCAGTAACAAACTACGAAGCTCACGGGAAAAAGGCATTTAATACTTACAGCTTATGGTGCACTGTTGTTCCAGTCCAGCCCCACTCGGGTCCATTTAGGCCCGTCGGTGGAACCATGGCCTTGCCGGAGGGGGAAGATTGTGCGGTCGGCCCACTTCCCGGCAGCGGCCTCCCCGAGCGCAGCACTCACCCCTGCTCACCCTCCTCCAGGGCCTTCTCGCTAAATCTGCTCCACGCACAATTAGCAGGCGAGGGGAACTCGAGGCGGGAAACGAGGTCGTCGGGTGGAGGGGTGACATTTGTAGGCGAGCGACGTCCCTGCGATGCAATCTGTCACTTCCCCCGGCGCAGGAAGTCACGACTAATTGCTGGGATCCTCTGCCTCTCGACGGAGTGTGCCATCCCAGAGCGCAACCAGGGAGATCAGGTCAATTAAGGCCCGCGGAGCTGGCAGCGGACACGTCGGCACACTGTGAACCCAACAAACAGCCACGGAGCCCAGCGTACTAATACAGCATCCAAAACACTCAATTTCAAACAATGCTACATTCTCCTTTTGACAAGCACATATTCATTGTTTTGCATATCCTATTCTAGGAACAAAATTATATTCACACATGCAAATGAAACGCTCTGAGCAGCCTTGTGGAACCGGCTTGGAGTTTGAATATAAAATCAATAAAAATACCTAAGTAAACAAATGTAACAGCACCTGGATTTTGTCCTGTCTCTCCTGCTCAGTATATTGCAGAAGGAGAAGCGTCCTTTGAGTTTTTCCTTCAAATAATTAATAATTATGGTGTCTGGTATTTTTAGAAGCTTAAAAGCTTTACCGTGTATTACATTTGCCGGTTTGTATTCTTAGAGAAGTCAAATATACTGAATGTTAAGTTAAAATCATTTCTCTGAAGGGAGAAGTACATCCCTCATATCCTACAGATCTAAGTGAAGTACATCCTAATTAAAGGGAAAAAAAATCAATCTTTGAAACAGAAAGTGTACAGGTCCCTCCCGGGAACGTTTGGAAATTGGGCAAAGCCGCCCCCCCTCACCGATATCGGGAAAACGCAAGAATAAGACCTCAGGATTCGGGAGAAAGTTCTGCATGTTCAAAATAACGGTTTTCTGCCTATGCCAAATAGATATAAATGCTGTCCTGTGATGTGTGTGTGACCCGCAAGCTGCCCACTCCCCAACCACGACGAGAACAGCCACTTAGAAGATGGATAGACAGATGGATCTTATTATATGGATGGAGAATTTTTCATAAGTCAGGATTATTGCTGTTCTCGTTGAAAGGCATCAAACGCTTGTTTCAGGGAGGGTGGCTGGATGCAGAGCTCATGAAGGTTACACACTTCCAGGGGGTGCCCCGCAAGAACGCGGACTGCGGCCCAACCGAGCGTTGCAACCCGTGTTCAGAGCCTGTGTTTCTGAGAAAGATGGCAGCAGATTTCGTGGTGTACAATTTATTTACACATTTACTCTATGTACAGACGGCCCATTACATGCGTCCATTCAGGGACGCCGTTCATGGTCACCTCAGCATAAGCCAAACTCATGATGTCATTCCTGAAAACAGCCTCCTCTTTATGGTGCCCAAAACATCTATGTTTCAATACTGCTCAGCCAAAAACAAAGAACAACAAAACAAAACAAAACAAAATCACCCAGGAAAAACTTTTTTTTTTTTAAAAAAAAAAAAAAAAAAAGGAGGGGGGGGGGGAATTCCGGTTCTGGTGAGCAGCATGTCAGCCCGTGGGCCCCAACATGAGGCCGACTACGTGGAGATGGCTGCTTCTCGTTGCCATGGAAACTCGGGCCCTGTCCTCACGGGCGCTGTCTGCTTCAGGATCCTGTATCTGTTCCACCCGGCCGCTCACTCGTCCCGGCGGGAGCAGAATGCAGAGACTCAAACTGAGCGCGCTCCTCGTTCAATGAGCCTGCATCACGTGATCGTAAAGATTATCCACGATGCAATATCACGGCATCAGGCACCATAGAATATGTATACATGTAAACAGTATATAACATAAAAAAAATCACAGAATGTAACTGGTTAAAAAAACAGAAGAAAATAGAATCTTGTCAAGTGCAATTTCTCTCCACCATGAACAGGAAAATTAGTCGAAGCTGTAAATAAATTCAAAGCCAGATGACAAAATTGTTTTTTTTTTTTTTTAAACCATAATACAAAACTCAAAATGTTACTATCCTACACAAAAGCTGCCCGGACACACGGCAGATTTTCACACAGCTGTGAGTTCTTCACGCGCACAGTTTCAGGACTACTTGACCAGAGATCTCAGCTGATCGGTTTTCTTTCTGCTACGATCGCATGGCCGCTTCCATGACGAACAGGAATAAAGCGGCCAGGCTAGACGAAAGTGAAGCGGTCGGCCACGTTGGAGGGGTTGGCATGAGGGTGACGTCTCCGCCCTGGCTCCCTTCAGTGTATCGCTGGGTGGGTCCTGACTCGATTCTGAGGTAGTCCTTTGCAAAGAATTCACTTGAACACAAAACTTCTTCTGGAGGATCTGGTGGAGGTGTGGATCGCAGCTTTCGATCAGATATTACTGCCATCACTGCACTGACAGAGGAGCAGCGGCGGAATGGAGCTCCTTTCGGGGCAAAAGTGGCATCAGGTGCTGGGCTTGTGGAAAGCAATTGGGCCGATTAGTGTTAGCCAATCAAAGCTGGCTACAGCATAGTAACAGCAGATCCTGACCAATCAGAGTGCAGGCCGATGAGCATGTTTTGCACTCTCGTGGGCCAATCAAGGTCAGAATCCTCACAAATTGTTACCAAGAAACTCCTTAATGCGCAGATGGTGCCGTAGCGTCGATCGCATCAACGTAAGCTGTGGTTTTGCATGTGTGGATCTATTTCGGGTAACCTGGTTTGAATTAACAGTGCAGATGATGGGGAACATGTTTGAAATACATT